GGAGGAGGAGGAGGAGGAAGGACAGAAAGAGGAGGAGGAGGGGGCAGCGGCGGGCGGCGGGCTCTGGGCGGCGAAGGGGGAGGAGGGCTCATTGTCTGGTCCCCCCCAGCCGAATTGATATGCTAATCCCTTTTCTGATGCCATAACAAAGAACACCTTTGCACTTTTAAAAGACTTTTGTGCCCTGGCTACAGAAGTTTATTATCCACTAATTAGCAACAACTTCTGGCAATGAGTTGGGTTACATTTTCATAAGCTCCAAGCCCGGGCGACGAGGTGCGCAGGGCAGGAGGAGGTTTGCGCGATGGCAACCCCCCCCCCAAAAAAAAACGGGGCTGGGAAGGAATCGCCCGCTCAGGTTCCTGGGCGGAGGGCGGGAGGCAGGGATCGGCAGCTTTGTTCTCCCCATCCACTGAAAGGTGTCCAGAGAAAGGTTCTCGGGCGGGGGACGAGCGATCTGGAACCAGGGTGTTCGGTGACCTTATTTGATCCGACACCGTGGCGGGCGTCCGGAGAGCTGCGCGGAGGCGGCGGCTGCCGGCTGCCTAGCAGGAGTCCTGGCCCAGCCATCTGGTTTTTGTTGGGGTTTTTTTTCGGGGGGTGGTTGAAATGCCCGGGCGAATGTTCCAGCATGCTTCTCTGATCTCTAGCTTTTTCCTTTGCAGCCTCTGCTTAGAATAAACCGCGGGCGAGAGAGTGGCCCGTACAGAAGAAACACACCCGCCCCCCTGGGTTTCCTCTTAAGGCCTCCCCGCCAACAAGGCTGACATTCCAGAACCCGGGAAGATGAGGCAAAGCAGGCATCGCCAGCGCCGCGGTGGGGGTGGAGAGGTTCTGGATGAAGGACCCACCTGGGTCTTCTGAAGTCTTTACCCCACGGAGCAGATCCTTCTGGCGAACCAGAGCTCAGAGCCGCACCTTCTCGGCGGCCGGATGCGGCGCGCACCCGCGTGACCTTGCCTCCCTCAGGCTTTGGCAAGACGTTACGATCTTTCACAGTCCCACATCCCAGGTCAATAAACTGGAAACGGATAGAATGAGCATCATCTGGTGAAAGATAAAAGGGCAGGGGGACGATGTGCATTCCTTCTAGTGCCTCCAAAGGGAGGGATGTGTCTCGCCGCTAATAAAACACCTGAGCAGTGAGGCCTTGGGTCTGGGCTCAGCCGCAGAGATGCTTTATCTTTGGTAATTCGAGCCCCCAAATTATATTTGGGAATAAGTGTATGTGTGTGTGTGTGTGTGTGTGTGTGTGTGTACACTCTATTTTTTTAAAATCCCTTTCATTTTTGGTTTTTCACTTTTTGCAAATACCGCGTTGGAGGTACTGTTTGTTGGCTTCTTCAAGCAGATGTCAGCTGGGTGCTGGCGGCCTGTGCGTCCTCCTGCGGCAGCAGAGGCGGCAGAGTCTGGTTTGATAAATGTTCAAGATGAAACATGGCCATACTCAAAAACCCAGGGTGATTTAGGGTATAAGGATGAATATTCAGAGGCGGGACATGGCCAGTTATATTGTTTGATTTCCCTTTCGATGGAGCTAAATGCGGTTATCTGCAGTGCTAATCCCCCTGGTATCCAAGTGCAATATTTCTGAACAGGCACTATTAGAACCAGAAAATGGGGTCCAAGGACGCAGGGACTGACGACTGAACGGAATACTGTAGAAGAAACACAAAGATAACCAAGATATTAAAGATATTGGATCCTATGATCTCCTAGACGGGAATGTCAGGAGCAAGAACATATTCCAAAAATGGCCCCCCAGCAGTGCCCTTGGGTGGAGTGAGGGAGGAGGTGGGTGGTGAGTGTGGGGAAGAGGAGGTCTCTCTGTTGTCACCATAGGTCCCCTTCATTGAGGAAGAACAATGGCAGGGCCTGGGGTTATTCTTCTGAAAGAGAAACTGCGGGAAGGCAGAGTTGCTCTTTGTGCCCCAGCCCCTTTAGAGGAGAGGGAGCCATCCACACAACCCCCTGACCATTGGGCGGTGTCCACGAGATCTGGACCCCTCAAAGACTCTCTGAGAGCTTAAAAAAGGAAAAAGAAACACCCAAGGCGCCGGCCCCGTCGCGGGCAAGGCCCACTCAGCCGCCGGAAGAAACCCGAGCAAAGCCGAGAGACCTGAGAATTCGCCGGGCGAGGAGGGGGGAGATGAAAACCACACACTCTCACATGGTATGTCAGCCTTCCCCCACGCATCCCAACATCTGATCACAGTTCATTCTGCTTACGTGTGTATTTCAGATTAAGGATGTATTTATTTATTTAATCCTTCAGATCTTCCTATACCAGAAAAAAAAAAAGGCTTAATTCCTTTCCAAGACGAAGGCTTGATGGAAAGAAAGAAAAAAAGATTCCATTTTAAATCAATGGGGGAAGCATATGACTGTGACCTTGACGTGTGAAGGGGGAGGGGCGGGTAGGTTTGGGCCCAAACCTTTGGCCTCTCGGTTTCTGGGGCGTCCTAGGCCCTTTCTAACCACACCGACGGGCGGCGGGGGGGGGGGGTACATATTTTCAAACGTTACCATTAGCAGTTCATTCGCTAAAGTTGGGAACTTGGTATTTTCATATTACGTGAAATACATGATTTAATTATACTCCAAAAACAAATTAAGGACAGGCCTTCTACACAAATTGGAGGCAGCTAAATGCTCTTTTGTGCCTGCAGCCCTCGGGTTGTTAAAGAGGCTGCTGATGCATGAGAAGTAAGTGACTGATTTAACTCATTGGGATGCAGGAAGCGACCTGCCCTCTTTTGAAAAAGAGAGAGAGAGAGAGAGAGAGAGAGAGAGAGAGAGAGAGAGAGAGAGAGAGAGAGAGAAGCTCAGAGGGAGGGAGGCGGGGAGGGAGACCAAACCCCCGCTCTACTGCGTTGAAAGCTTCTGAATTTCAAGCAGAAAGTAGAAGGAGCCCCACACGGCAGTGAGCGTCTTTCCTTGGGCTGCGTGTGCAGAGCTTAGACAATGAAAATCTCCATCCCCCTCCCCCATCCCCGCTAGGCGACAAGATTTCTGTTTTCGTTCTCAACGGTGGAAGATGTGCAAAATCAAATATATAGAGATGTGTACATATTTTTTAAACTAACAAGCCAAATGGGCTGAGACGCGGATTATCCAAACGCGCACTGGCTGTAAGTATAATCTTTTCCTGCGTTCGCCCGGCTCCGCGTCGCTGGCTGGGTTGGGAGTGTTCGCTTTGTGAGTCGGGGCGCTGGTTGAGTTGGGGTGTTTTTAGTCACAGGGCTTCCTCAAAGCTTGCACTGTCTGCACGTGAGCGGGTTTAGTGTGTCGCCCGTTGTGGGCGTACAGAACAGGGCACTGGCTGTCCTGGTCGCGGCGACTTGGAGTAGCAGGCGTGGGGCAGCGGGAGGCGCCGAGTCCAGGGGTTCCCGCGTTGCGAGCATCCTTGAGAGCCTCCCGCCCGGCTCTGAGCTACAAGGTTGGTTCCAGGCACTGGAAGGAAATCAGGTCACGGAGAACCCTATGCTCCCGGACCCCCAGACGTGCAAGAGAGACGGGCTGGAATTGGAGGAAGAGACCTAGGAAGGAGGGAGGGAAAGAGAGCGCCGCTGGCCTAGAGGACGAGGCCACTGCGGGCCAGGCGCTTCTGTTTGCAGGGCTTAGTCTCGCCGAGGTTAGCTCGCTAGCAAGCATCGCGCCTTCCTTAGGTCTTTTATCTACATCTCAGATAAAGGATCTTCTTGAGAGAGGGCTGAGTGAGCGTGGGAGAGTGTGTCTCTCGTAGCGCCCAGGCAGCAGAAATTGTGGTTCTGGGGGAGGTATTTTTTGGCCTCTTGAAAAATGTGCAAGAATTCCGCGGGCCCACGCTTTCTTTGTGTGCCCGGCAGCGCCAAGCGCTTTGTGCTTCCCAAGGAGAAAATGGCGAGTTCTATTGTGTTTAGGCCATTTTCTTCCGGTACCAGGATTTCCCCAAGTTCTGAACACTTCTTTGGAAAGTAGCTTTCTCGTGCCCGGAAAAGTGTGAAGTTCGGCCCCGTGGCCTGGCATGGGCAACGACCTCAGTTTAGATGAGACCCTGTTTACTTATCGTTGGGATCCTTGTATCAAAACAAAAATATGACCAATTTGTGCAGGTCGGTGCCCTTCAAAGATACGCAAGAGCTCCCAAGGATCGGACAATAAGTGTGTGTGTGTGTGTGTGTGTGTGTG